ACTCCTCAGACGTATCCAACTATTTGATTGCTTTTCTATCGAATCTCCGTACAGCGCGCTACCTATCGAACCGTGTTCCTCACTATGTTTTCCATAATAAAAAACTTTTCTTTTGTTTACCTTTTGTTCTTAACTGTTGCGTTCCCATTTGACAATGGAAACATTAGAAAGACGTAGAATTTTGACGTAGCTCCTTGTTAGGGAGAGTATAATAGGAACATACCCACTCGTCTAGCTACCCCCAAAGCTCATAAGTATTTAGTCGACTAACGACTTATCCTTGAAAGAGACGTCATCATCAATTTGATTATTTATTTCATCATATCTGCACTGGTGCTTCAGCTTTTTAAATGACTGGATCGTGATCACAAGCGCATAACTGAGCTGGCCAATGTTGTTATGGGTCGAATAGTACGGTCATTAAGTCGTGTGACTTGTATGATATTATTGGTGCTACTCACGAACCTTTGAGGTTTGATGGACATGCTTCGCGAATAAGGAACTGCTTGATGTCATAAATGAGATTATGCATGTGTATCCATCTTACAAAAGCAGTTCGTTGCACAGCACGAGCGTCAATTTTCGCCTTTAGTGGACAAGCAGGTGTCTTTAGAACGGATCTCGCGGACATATATGCTACTATTGTGAGTTTCTTTCTGCTATAAAGATTGACAATACAGTCAAAAACTACACTAAGAGACTCAATTATGAAAGGCGTTAGGCACAACGACCACGTTAGCAGTACCGCGATTTATTTCCATTCGTTTCACGATGTGGAACGGACGTTGTGCATTGTTAATTGATAATTAATGGCTAAGCAGTTAGGCTTTCCATTCTTGTTCCGAGCTGCAACGTCTCGAACATGTTTAATAGCACCAACATCGTAAGCTGAAGTTTTTAAACGCGTTTCTACAGGGTGGACGATGTTCTTTGTGCTTCCAGTTTGCTTTGAATACAACGATTCCTGAAGCTGGAAAGATTAAATTGTTTATAATGACTACAGCATCCAGTTCGGATCATCACTGCGTCTTTAACTTTAAGTAATGTCGTAGAAAATGATCCTATGCTGCCTATCCACTAATGGTCCGCAACGTGAATCTTCACGACACCCTTACGATCAAAACGTCACAATTGAATGCAAACAATTATTAAACTTGTTTGTGGTGCAAAGATTATTCCGTGAAGAGCATTTGCATTGCAAGCATCATGCACTTCGGCGTCTTGAAAGCCTTCGTCATTGTGACTTTCGTCGCATACACTTTTACGTCCATTAGTGCCAACGACGTTGTATCGAGTGATATCAAGACTCGTCCAAGTCGTCGATTGGGTGTGTTTTCTGGAATATCCAAATTTTTTGGCATGTCGGGTGACGATGCAGGTAAAGCAGCCACAAACGTACAAGGCAAAGCTTCGTCCAAGGAACTAGTGACAAGTATGAGAGCCATTTACAAGACTGACGAGGAGTTAAAAGAAGGTCTTGGCAAGCTCCTTAAATTTTCACCGAGGAAAAAAAGAATACTTCGGCACGTTGCTGCGGCGTTAGGATTGAGTATTCTCGGTGGACTCGCATTGTATGGGGCCAACGAACTTCCTATTGGTACCGAAGGTCCACCATAAGCGGCTCCTATAACGAACTTGATCACTTAATTGCTTTCTATCAAGTCTCCGTATAGCGCGCTACCACTTGAAATTCGTTCTTCAATATGTACTTTATTTTTTAAGCGTCTTCTTTTGGAAAACTTTCGTTCTTGACTGTTGCGCCCCCCTTTTTGATAATTTACCCATGTTTTCATTAGAAAGACGTTAAACTTTGAGCTGTCTCCTTGCAGCATCGAAAAGATAGATCGAGTGACTGAGAATGAAGTGAAAGAGTTCGTGAGGGTAACGGTTTTAAAATGTGGAGCATATTCAGTGCCTTGTATTCTTACAATTGCCCCAACGCTCAATAGTTTCTAGTCCACTTACAATGTGATATCTGAGCCCTGAATGAAACGTCAGGTGGTGTGCTGCGACGATTATTGAAATATGCGTAGTCTAGATGTCAAAGTGACTCATCAAGATGCGTTTTTTAATTATTGTTCGATCAACCACTTTTTTTCATTTTCTTCTCACATTTCAACTGGTGCTTCAGCTTTTGGAGTGACTGGATCGTGAGTATGATGCTTTAAACTTAGCTGGTTGTCATGGGTCAAAATGTACGGCACTACGTCGAGTGACTTGTACGATGTCATTATTGCAGGTCACGAACCCTTTGGGGGCTGATAAACATGCGTCGCGAAATGCTTCACGAAAAGATTGCCTTGATGTCATGAAAGAGATTATGCACAATACTTTGTATATCATCTCATTGAAGTAGCTCGTTTCATTCCACGAGCGTCTTCTTTCTGCTTTTAGTGGATAAGCAAGTGTCTTTTGAACGGATCTCACGGTCGAATATGCTTCGCATCGGATCTATCGTTAGATTATTCCCGCTAAGAAGAATGACGATACAGGCAAAAACTACACTGAGAGACTGAATGATCAAAGGCGTCAGGTTCAATGACCACTTCATTGTGCTATCTTTGCATTTGTAGTACTGCTAATCAGTAACTAGTAGTTAGGCTTTCCAATCTTGACGCAAGCTGCAAGCTCAGACAAGACAATTGGACTTCTGAAACCTCTGTAAAAAAGTAAAAGTAGTACGATTCTTTTATAATCGCCTTCAATAAACTCGCCAGTCACGATTGCCTTCTTTACGTCGTGAAATCTCGTCGATGTGGTTTTCATTACCGAATCTTAAATCTCGAGCATGTTTAAGTTGTCATATGCGGAGATTTTTGAATGCGTTTCGAGAGGGTGGTGCATTTTCACTTTCACTTTAGCTACAACGATTTCTGAGGCTGAAAAAACTAACTTTGTTCAAAGTGACTGCAAGCGTCCAGTTTGCACACAAAAATGACGTTTTTAACTCACAGTAACGTGATTACAAATGCTATGTGGACCCTTTTTCATCATGACTTCAATCGTAATGATCTGACACTGACACCTTTACGAACAAATCATGATTCAAACTTTACAATCGAATGCAAAACATTGTATTTCCATGTCTGTGCTGCCATCAGTATCTAAGTTTTTCCGTGAAGAACACTTACATTGCAAGCATCATGCACTTCGGCATCTTTAAAGCCTTCATCATTGCGACTTTCGTCGCATGCAGTTTCACGTCCATTGGTGCAAATGACGTTGTATCGACTGATATCAAGGCTCGTCCAAGTCGCCGTTTGCCCATGTTTTCTGGGGTGTCCAAAATTTTTAGCTCGTCGGGTGACGATGCAGCTAAAGCAGCCGTCAAAATGTCAAAAGAAGCTGCGGAAGATGCTGCCAAAAAAGGCAGAGCTATCTTCGACAAATTAATGACAACCATGAAAGGCGTTTACAAGAATGAGAAGGAGGCAAAGGACGCGATTAGCAATATGCTGAAACTACCAGCAACGAAAATGGATAAGTTCAAGAAAGTTGCCAAGATGGTAGGATTGGGTATTGGCGGTGCACTCGCAATATTTGGGACTTACAAACTTACGGTTGGCGCTGACGGCCCACCACGAGCGGTTCCTCAGACGCAACCGACCACTTGATTGCTTTCTATCAAGCCTCCGTACAGCGCGCTATCATTCGAATCTCATTCTCTGATATGTACTCCATTCTTTAATTTTTTTTTGTATGACCTTCGTTCTTGACTATTTAACCCGCGACCACATTGAAAGAACGTAGACCTTAGAGAAATCTTTTTGCAGCATCGAAAAGGCCGAGTCAGTGAGGGTAACGGTTCTAGGATGCGGAATATACTCGATGTCTTGCATCGCAACTAGTATTTTACAAAGCTCAATAGTATCTAGTCCACTAACGACGTCGGCTAAAATGATCGCAATCCAGACATTAAACTGACTCGTACGAGAGTCTTCTTTTCGCTTCAAATGGACAGGCAGGTGTCTTTCGAAGAGATTTCACGGTCGGATATGCTTCGTCTCGGACTATCGTGTTTCTCCCTACTGAAGCTATTGACCCGCAGTGGAAAAACACATCAAGAGACTAAACGATGAAACGCGTTGGACGCAACGACCACTTCTTCGTGCTGGTTATGCATTCGCAGTGCTCGCGGTATATCCATCCTTTCACGTAGTGGTTAAGTTATTAGGCTTTTCCTTCTTGTTTCGTGCTGCAGACAAAACAAATTGTGTGGTGCTGGAAAGTATCAAGACAGTGAGCATTCCTTGCAGTAGCTTTCAGTAGACTTGCCAGTCACGGATGCTTTTTCCACGTCGAGAAACTTATCAATGTGATTTCAATTACTAAAGCGCGAAGCCTTTACCACGTTAAATAAAACGTAAGTTGTTATTGAATGTTTCAAGGTCAAACCTTGGAAACTGTGTTAGTCTTGAATGTGATTCCTAGATTTGTACAACATTCGTTTTAATTCAAAACGCCATTATTCTGTGTACATCAAATTCATTGTTCTAGTAAGCGTCAAGCTTGGAGCGCAGGGAACAAAACTCTTGCCCTTGTCATGATATGTTTTCCATTACATAAGATACATGGGAGAGAGTTACGATCGCGACGTCATGATGAAGCATAGAGAAAATGAAGGTAGTAGCATCTGTTCGTGTTGCCTTGATGTCCAATCCTATTCACATTCTCTCATTCAAAAGTTTTTAATCGAGAAATTTAAAGCGCGCTGGCAAGATGGTAGGATTGGGTGTTGTTGGTGGAGCTGCACTGGAAAGCGCCAGCAAATTTACTGCTGGCGCTTAAGAGAGACCGCGAACAGCTCTTCAGTCGTACCTTACCAATTTATCGTATTCAATTAAAGTTTGATACGGTGCAGCTTTCATATGCTCCAAACTTGTTCAAAACCTTTGTTCTTGATTGTGCTCACACTTATAGATATTTACACAATGCAGCTGCTTCCCACGCACAGCAGTATTAGAAAGCGTGTACGCCTTCTTGGTGTCTCATCGAAAGACGAATAAGATGTGGAACATAATCACTGCGTGTAGAGGCTAACACTCTCCCAAAAAGTATCTAATCGACTTAAGACTAAACATTCCGAAGTCGATCAAAATGATCGCAACTGAGACGACAAACTGTCTCGTCAAGGTCTGTTTTTAGTAAGAAATGGACATCGACAATCGCTAGGTGAGTGTACCCGTTGTTGGGAATAGAGTATGCATGATATAGTCCAAATATGGATGCCAATCGCAGCTGTGACATAACTTGTCTGGTCAATGTACGACAATGGCCATCAAATATTTCGCTGTTGAGTCTTAGTAGTTACCACATTGTAGTGCGATGCTCGTTTCTACTAAATTTTAGAATCGACGTGATAAAACACAGTTGTACTGTCGACACTACTATGGGATGTTGATGTAAAAGCATGACAGAAGGTGAAGTGGCATGAATATGAGCAATGAGTAAATATGTAGCACAAAGAGAATGAATGGGCATGTGACAACACATTTGCGCGGTTTTCCTGATCTCTAGAGCGAGACAAGTAGTGTAGCAGGTGGTTACTTGTAGTTGTAGTTCTGTATAGAATCAGACCCTCTTCTTTCAAGTCAGATCCTCATTGTATCATTGCGAGTAAGCGCTCAGCATGTGTGTGAGTTCAGCGCTTTCTCAACTCCCATCTGGATGCTGCAAACAAATACGAGGTCCAACATCGTTTATACCGACTAGATATCATTGACTTTGAAATTGTATGGCACATAGTAACACCAGTAGGGATTTGTTTTTGGGATAGGCATTCCAGCTGGGAACTGTGCTCCCTATCGCACTACTGCCTGCTTGTCTTTCGTTACTTTTAAATTTTCTCACCACAAACCATTTGATTTTCATTTCATCCGCCAGGTCCAGACATCGCTAAAGCCATGCATTTTAGCATCTATAGTGTCGTTTTAGTCGCCACATTTCTCGCTTGCAGCTTTACTCTTACCAGAGCCGACAAGGATGAGGCCACTAACACGCAAGTCCATACAAGTCGCCGTTTACCATTCTTTGACGGCAAGAGTGGAAAAGCTCTCGAAAACGTTGTGGAAGAAATGGGTGACCAATCGCAGTTCCTCCTCAAATCGAATGTGGCACATGAAGAAAAGAAGTTACGGTATGCAGAAGAAGACAAGGTTATAAAAGAACTTAAAGAGTTGCGGGATAGAGGTGACGCCACTCCAGAAGACCTTGTGAAACTCAATAAGATGTTGAATAAAAGAGTTACAGATCTCGGGTCGGACTATCACGTTAATGTATACAATCTTTTCAAGGATCCAAAAGATGCAGAGAAGGCAATGGCAGTATTCCACCAGACTACGAAACCAAAAAAGAGCAAGCTCAAGAAGATCGCCAAGTATACTGGACTCACACTCCTTACTGCATTTGCTCTGTATGGTGCATACGAGGCTTTAGTGAGCAACGGACCGAAGCCTGAAGCTGTTGGAACCACGACTGTGGGATAAGAGCCGTCTCGACGACTTTCATTCAATCGACTCGAACCACTGCGATTTGCTATTTTTCATTCGTTCTTCCTCGATTTCGACTTTGACTTCGTTAAAGACATTTATAAACACATTCAATTCATTTGTTTCTTTTCATTCGTCGCTTTTTGTTATTGTGCGTGAAAACTGCGTAAATTTCTTGTACTATGACGTATGTGAACGTCATCACCAATTTTGCTTGCGGCACAATTGAAGATTAATCTGCTTAACTCTAAACTCTAGCAATTATGATTTAGACATAAGCTCGTCGAGAGGAGTGAGTCTCCGAGGCTTTATAGTGTTTAAGGATGTCGTTGCCAATGTACATTGTCTCTGCTAAGGTTTCTCGTAATTTTCTTAATTTTGATGACGTGTCGCCCACCGCTTATATACATTTGACACCAATCATCCACGTGGCTTTATTCTGCTAATTAATAACCGAGCATTTACGGAAATCAATAATCGAATGTCAGTTTAGATTGCTAAAGTTTGTCCATTTTGCTAAAAGTCGACTTCTGGTTGAGTCTATTTGTAGTATTAAAGCTGATTCTGGTCGATCAGTACAAGATCGTGCAATACGCAGCTTTAAACCGGCTTGATCATAGACATAGTAGCATATTGTCTTGTCATCACGTACAGTATTGACAGTGACCTCTCGAAGTCTTTGCCCAAACAAGCCTTCCGTGGGCTCACTGTCTCGGATTATTCTAGGATTAATATTTACAACTGGTTTGTCAAAAATCGAATTTGACGGAAGGATTAAACAGTAGTCGATTGTGCTTAAACGGACAATATATAGTTTGTTCCTCATTTGCTACCATTGTTAATGAGCGTTAATGTACTGGATACTTAATACAATCTATGAATTAGCAAAAGCTTTGGATCTCTACTTCACAGTCGGGATATGAAGGATGCAAATATTAATTCTTAAGCTGTGCAACACCTATAAAATGAACCAGTGTTATTTTCTTATCGGACAGATAGCATTTACCTGCCAAATATTATTGTATGGTACAGTATGACAGAATTCTAAGCTCTTACCATCAAGCGGATGGCAAACGCATCAGAAGTCATAGACGTTAAATTTCAGTAGCACCTGATTGAGCTTGTTTGTGGATACACTTTCGTACGTGATAAAAGTGTTGAGAGTTGCTTTAGAGAGTATTTGTCGTGAGCAAGTAACTTCGATACTTTTATCGATCGAGAAAGGAAATCATGCATTTGAAAGTTTAGCAATCGGCTTGTGAATTAATAAATAATCTGAAGTCGCAGAGAACTTTAGCAAATCGTCAAATTATATTGTAATAATCAATTTAACGAAATGTCATAGCAAAGTAGCACTCAGCTGAATGCAGTGACGGCTTCAAGTACTTGAGCCACTGAACAACACACGATCTCAGCAAATAAAAGTTGCGACGTGGCAGCCGTGCACCGTACACCTAATGAGACGTTTCGACTGCGCTTGAAGATCTTCTCCACCACTTAAAGTTGAGCAATAGTATTGCGCTTGACCCTTACTTGGAGGCAATGGGAGTTATCAATTCCTTAGGAGCATCTCCAAATTGGCTCATATCGAAACCTTAATTCGGCCTATCTCGTTCTAGTCAACAATGGGGCGTAGCGTTTAATGCAAAATACAGCATTGTGCTGCGAGGGACGGATGGGTGTCCGGATGTAGAGTGCTGCGAGCGCTATCCAAGCGGTGGACCTCGGCTAGTCTGAGGAGAATAAACGCGATATCTTAGCTGCCGAGTGCATACGTGGAACCTGCAACGATTTTAATACAAAACATTTGTGCCTTGCGTGCCCCTTCGCAGCTGGCTCTTACGCTAGGTTGTCCAGTGAACCCTGCGCCGTTAAATGTCAAGTCTTAGTAGGCAAAAAGTGACATACTGAGAAACAGTACATCGTGTAGGTCGTGATCGATGGACCAGCACTAAGAGGAGCGATTCTCTTTCAAAGAAGATTCGTGCAATCACCTACGACGCGTCATTGCACGACGTGTCACTGTAGAGCAATTTCAATAGCAGGCGGTGGCATTGACAACGTACAGATACAATATATGTGCGTCATCCGACGGGGACTGTAGTGAATTTGTCGGAGCTTTTATTTAGCCTTTCCTTAGGGAATGAGACATTTACCAGCGTGAATAGCTTTCTCGTCCTGGATCTTTACTTGATATATGAGATATAAGCCCATTTTAAGTATGGTGTGGCATGAATTTCACAATTCATTACCATTTAAATTAGGTGTATTGCACTCTTTCCTGATGAAGTCGTGGCGAGTCATAGCCCGACCACTTTTAGGAAACAGAAGCGCTTTTAACGCGGGTACAAAGCTATAATAGGTTCTGCGCAGGATTGTGATTCTGAAATCGAGAAGCAATGATATTGCTCAGTGCCTTGGACTGAGGTCGGATGGCAGTAGCAACTGTGATCATCAGATAGAGAGAAGCGATTATAACGAGACCCGTTTTGTATCCATGGTAAACGGTCGATAATAGATGTAATGTAATCTGGTGTCTCCAGTGCCAGGACCGGTGAACACCGAAGCCGACTTGAGATCCCGTACAATAGTCGATGCAGCTGTAAGGCGACTGCAAATCAGGAGTAGAAGAAATACGTTCTGAAGGTAGAAACAATGATTTTTGCTTGTAAATACAAGTAAGCAGCAAAAAAAATTCACTTGTGAATGAAAATACCGGGAAGTCAGAAGGGTTGAACTATCTTCAATTTTTTTATCCGACAGAAGCTCTTTTGAAAACTGAACGATAAATATTACGGCTGAGCATTAATGTGAAATTCCTCGTGAGAAATAATTTACGGGAGTTGCTCCTTATCATCCTAACCCGTGATGATGTGAAGTGACAGACGTCGGGAGACACCACGCCATCTCACTAGACGTATCAGTTGCATCCAGACTCTAAGTTAATCGTCATGAAAGGCGATAGCCACCAAACATTAGTAGCGACCTATTGTATCCACCGGGACACCAAGCTTTTCGGATTTTTTTTCTCATCTAGCAGCGCAAATAATAGAACGAAGCCCTCGAGTTTGGCTTTGTTAAGCTCTCTTGCTTGTGGTGACGTGTCAAATCGTTAGGGAACACTCGTTGTGCGTTCCTGCACTCCTTTCTCATCTAGCAGCGCAATCGGAGGGCGAAGCCCACGCGGCTTTCTCGAGCCCTCGCGCTTGTGATGGATCGTCAACTCCTCCGAGGAGTCTCGTTGTGCGTACAAAAATGAGATCGATCAGATCTAAGATGCGCTTTTTGAGCTTCGGCTTCGCATTGCATGGCTAAAGGCACTCCCCTCGATTAATAATTGTGTCATTGTAGTTGCTCAGCTTAGCTATGGGCGATGATGGAGAATCTGTTACTTCGTCAACATAGCACATCAAATTCGACTCGTGAGAGCGGAATTTTACGCAAACTTTGTAAAACACAAGGTGAGCTTGATTTTTCTTCGGGATGTAAGAATACAAATTAATTTTTGTTTCGCTATGACTGTGTGCTACCCGACAAACATGCTCGCAGCACATTCCTAAAGATCGCAGAACTCCACGTATAGGTGGGGTTTCTCAACAATCATTATATTTCTTTACCCGACTAAATATCTAGGTGTGTATGGCTGGCCGCCACTGGCATCGATTGAAGCTTCTGATCAGTGTGCTTTCAGCCAAAGCGTCACGAAATCAGGCGAATGATGCCCAAACTCAACAATGTCAAGTCAATCATCTGCTACGATGTATGAACGGGCTTGTAGCAGCAAGTCGAATTGGAAAGAACGCTCCTCAATTCAAAGACCGGATCCACTTTTGAATGGTGTCAGAAAGTTGATCAAATCATTTATAAAGGGGGGGTTAAAAGGGTTGGAACTTGGATGTAGCGACAGTTGAGTTATCAAGCTCATTTCCTTTCAGATCTTCCAGCAACATAACACGTGTTGCGACTGACCAGGATATAATGTAATTTAACATGAATTAGCAACGTCGACATTGTGATATGCGGCAATTCATAGACGGGGCGAATCGAGAGCGCATAAGCTCCCACGTCAAGCCAGCCTTCTTAATCGTAATCTTAACTGTATGCTCGGAAAAGAAAAATAAACATCGTGCCACTCTCCGCGAGAGATGTAGCGATGGCTTCCCTGTGCGTAGCAACGCAAGCTCTATGTCGATTATGAACGGATCAAGTCCAGACGAGGCACTCTGAGCTCGACATAAGCACGCTTTAATTACAATTCGATCCTTATCTTCAAAGGAGGTAGCGCTTCTCTGCCACTTCAAGCTGGCAAAACTCATAAGCAATCACCCTTTCAGGCTCATGGACATCTGCTTGGAGGACAACAAGATTGATGGCAAAGGTCAAAGCATCACAAATGTTTTATTAAGTTGATCTGAATTTGGATGATTTAAATTTGCAGCACAAAAGAGGTTTTGCTTCAAAGTCTTTATAAACGGTTCTTCCGCCACACTCATACAAAATTTGGAGTTTTTTAGGAAGATTGGCGAGGGCGTGCCATGACAGTATATTTTGCGCTGTATGCGCAAGTCGTTTTAGCGGTCAAACTACACCCAATTATCCTTTTAAATAGAGGCACTGGCTAATATATCATTCCTTTATCGTTGGGGAATCTGCCCACAGACCATTCATCCAAATAAAGCATCGCAAAAATGGAACCACGTAGGCTTTGAAGGCACACTTTTTTTCTTATATATTGGCGAGCAGCTTGTTCTAGCAGATATGTTCGAGCACTGGGTGCAAGTGTATATTATGGTTTATCCGTTTTTCGTGCTCTGCACGATTACGGACATTATATTATCTAAATATGTTTTCGCAATATCACGACGTGACTTGATCAGCCGCAAAATCAGACGTTGAACATTGCTGGCGCGTTAGATAACCTTGTGGCAGACATTCCCAGACCATCCAGCCAGGAGAACTCACCGCAGTACGGGGAATACGCGCCCACCGAAAGCAAA